GCTCCTTTATATGGCCACTGTAGTAAATGCCACAAGGACCTACTCGTCTCTGTCCTTGTCCCGTCCATCGCATTTCTTGGACGGCGGTGATGTCAGCCCTTATTTTTACGAGGACATCAACCAGCTGGACAGCGGCACCTTCCCAATTAAGGGACCGAACGCCGGACAGGTGCATGCCCTCAAAGGTTGAAATTTAGAGAACGATAAAATTGTAAAATTATTTTCTCATAAACTACTGAAGATAAATCGATGAAATTTTGTGAAGTAAAAGAAATTTAAATAATAATTTTTTGCTAAACAATTGAAATTTTTTAAGTGTTCTTCACGCTAAAAAATATTGAAAAGTATGTAACACAACGCGAAAAATATTCACTTTTAATAATCTGCAAAAAAATTTTGTTTGTTCATACTATTCCAAAGATATTGAATTTTTGTCAGCCAACCGCTTTTAAAACGTATGAAGCATCGATCGTTGCGCAGTACGCTCGCAAACTCCCGTCATCTGTGCCGAAAGAAAAGCATAAGAGCAACGGTCACAAGTTTGTTAAACAAAAATAACGCAGAAAATATTATTGAAACAACCGTTTTAACATGAAATATGATAGAGAAATGCTCCCATTGCCACGTATTTTAACCCTCATTTTCACGGATACTTGGATTGTCATATAGAGTACCAATGGGCCTGGCTGGACTCAAAAGCAAACCTAATATCATTTTGGAGAAACTTTATTTTTTTTATTTCAAATAACATTTTAAAAACTCAAAAAAAGTATTCACGAAAAGCAAGTAAAAGATTGAAAATAGAATTAATTTCCCTTTATGCACTTAAAGCATTTGTAATAACATTTTGAATGTTGTTGACATACAGCATCTGCGCACTCTTGGCAAAAGAACCTTGTTTTACGACGATGTTTGTCTTGAACATGGCATAAGCTGCAGTTCCTTTTCCTTTCTGAAGTCTCACTTTTGGTGTCTGTTAGCGTATTTGGCTGTTTCTGTAAAATAAATTTTGTAACTTGTAAATGTGTTTGCCCTATATATGTATATGACATTACTGAATACATACCTCAAATTTTCCCAAAATATCTTCAATTGCGGAACGGCAAACGGAATGCTTTATTACATGTATATTGTTACGTCTCAACTCGATTTGCGGATGAGCTAACATTTCGGACAAATCATATAAAAACTTTCACGAGCGTCTGATTTAGTGTAATTGTTATTTTCTTTGCATATAATAAAACTGCTTAATGCCATTAAATCAACAAAATTATAAAAAAATGCAAGAGTCCATCTCTTAGTTTTTCTTTTGGTAGTGTAATGCGTTAGCATTTGGTCCATGGCATCAACACCAACTTTATTTTTGCTGTAATGCATGCAGCTTTCGCTTGACGCCTTCAACTTCCTTATCGTAATGTACCGTGGACAGTAATATTACCGCTTTGTTTTTCTTAGGAACATATGAACAAATGGCTACGTTGTCTTGATGAAATCCAAACTCAGATGAAAGAACTGCCCTATTCTTGTTTTTCTTCATTTCAGGTGGGATAGATGCTTTATTGCATCGAAGGGTTCCAACGAAGGACAGCCCCAAGCTTATTAGCCGCTTACATCAATTTAAAGTGGAAAAAAAGTTATCAGCTACTATTGTGCGCCCGGAATTTGAATATTTTGAAACCAAACGTATAAGCTCATTTTCCCCTTGGTTCTTTGCTCTCCCTTCATTAGGTTATTTCCGGTATAGATATTTCCACTCAAAGGATAATGAGTTTTTGCGTCACAAGCCCACCATATTTTTATACCGTACATAGCCGTTCTTCCTCGATACTGAAAAAGTTGTTCGTCAACAGTTATATCGTTATATGGACGAAAATTCTTCTGGAGATTTGTATTTAGAAAGTTCCAAATATCTCGTATAGGTGCCGCTTTATCTGTTTCGAAGCGGAAAGGTATAGTGCGACCGTCATCAAATCGTATATAACGGGATATGGTCAAAAACCGACGGTAAGACACGTTGCTCTGAAAATTGGCAATTGGTTTGTTTTCCATAAAACTGACGCAGCCTGACTATTGTTATTGCTGACTCCTGCTGCTATAAGAATGCCTAGAAAACCTCTGAGCTCCGTTTCTGTAAAGTTTTGCCATTCTTTCAATTTGTTGGGATTTTTAAAGTTCCATTCATTGTTTTTTTCCGTACCGTAATTGTTGGTTTCGCTTACAATGATGTATGATATGTTTGGTGTAAAAAACGCATCGAAAACTTCAACAGGCGAACATGATGTGATTGGAGGTGAACACGACTACTTTGAAGTGATGCCTTACGCCAAACGGTCCCATCTTTACCAATAAAGTTGTTACCTTCATCAGTATTCAAATCATCGTCGCTATCTGTGCTACTATATTCTTCAGCGACTTCAATTTCATGTTCAGCTTCAACATCTGAAGCTTCAAATTCCAACTCATTTTCTATTTCTGAGGCGCCGAAATCAAGATCATTATCATCATTTTCACTGTTGTTTTCAATTTCTTCTGCCAAAGCATTTGTAACCAAGTCATAAAAATTTGGATCACTACGCGGCACATTATCATGTATGAAATTTATTTTACTCATTTTTATTCAATAAATACATACTTTCACAGAATACCACCGATTATTCTTTACTTGAATGTGAACATCACTTTTCACTTCCAACTTCAAATGACAACATCTAACATGTGAAAACCAACAATGTTTTTGATAACGGAACTTTAAATTGAAATGAGCAAAACAAATCATGAATAGAATAACAAGAGAGCATTCCAATTCATACAAAAGTATGTTCCCGTTGCGTAATGAGCGCATGGGTCTGGCCAGACCCATTAGTACTCAATATGACTTTCGGTTGAATACTATAATTTAAAAACTATTTATCAATTTTTATAAATATATATATGAACAAAATCATATTAAAATATATCATCTAGGATATCATGAAGTATTGAAACATAAACGTGTGTACTAGTATATGAAATAGTGATTTAAAGTTCAAAAAAGTCTGGCTGGACCCATCAGTACAAATGAGGGTTAATAATACTGTCAGAATAAAGGATTCCATTCGCGTTTCCCCATTTCTCATTCACTACATTCATTATGTTAAATGTTGTAAACAACTGTGAAAACTACACTTTTCTTACAAACTCAAATAAAAAACTCAACATCTTATGGTGATTTGCACATAACTAACAATATTGATCAATAATTTGTAAATTTCAACCATAAATAGAGTTTTACTGTATTGTATAGCTTACAATAATATAATTCAATGAATACCATAGTAACAGCATCTCATTGCTTTCTAGTATACATATGTATATATCATCCCCTTTTTTCTTTTGATTCGTAAAAATTTAAATTTATGGCACATATGCTAAAATGTAACTCGCCATCACTATCATAATATGATATGAAAATATCCCAATATTTTATGGGATGAGGAGTGGGTAAATTTTAAACAACCTTGTATCAAAAACTCAATATCGAAAAAATGGCATACACAATAATTTTGCAAAAGATGGATGATATTTGTATGTACATACAATATTTGTTATTGGTATATACATATTTGCTTATGTTAATGTAACGATTTCGAATTTTAATGTTTTGTAGAGACTTCGAAAATATGAGTGGCTTGTCGATTGTGCAAGCATGTCTGGCGCTATGCTACTATAAATCGATGCCTGAAGATCTTATTGACAAAGTGTTTTGTGTTAAATTTATTCAAAGAATAGAAGAGGAGATTCACGTGTGTTACTCCAAGGTATAAATTTATATAATTGTTCCTGAAATGTTTATTTTTTAAAAGGTTGTAAAATATTTCAGGCGACTTATCCCGAACGAGTACTTAACTTAATAATGAAGTTAAATCGGACAGTGTGCCTGGATTACCCGGAGGCGAATGTACCATGGTTTCAACAAAATTACTTAGAAGCTCAACTCAGCAAAAGTAAGTTCAGATTTTTTTAATAAATATCCTAATAGTTTCCATACGTTTTATTATTAATTAATCAAGACGGATAATATAAGAAAACTAATTAGAATTTGGTGCTCATTTAAGCCTGTTTTTAATTTTACACTGCTGCTGCTTTCAGTTAATACTATTTTCTTGCAAAATTGTGTACATATGTATATACATTTTTGTGTTGCAAATATTTTCTATATATGGATAATTGTTTTCATCTTCATCTTCACACTTTTGTGTTGTGGAAATTTTTATTATACTCTGAAATGAGTTGGATTTTAAATGCCCAAAATTCCTCATCTTTTAATTTTTTGGATTAGCAGTAGTAATAGCAGTTTTCAGGTTGTGAATTGTTATTCTCGAACGTTTCTTGCCGAAATTCGCGCTGATTCATGGTTTAAACTTTCATAATGAGTCATGTAAAAATTTCCATTAATTCTTCTACTTTCTTTGGCGTAAGCACCACTAACGCGATTATAGCCGATTTAACAATAGCGCGGCAGCCGTTTCTACTATTAGCAAGGTGGCGCGAATTGGAGATTCCAAGCGAAGACAAATATTTCTCCACCTGGTCTTTCCAACGAAATGGAGATTTCTTTTTCCTCTGCTTCCCCTCGGCAGGTACTGCGTTGAATACTTTCAGAGCTGGAGTGTTTTCGTCCATCCGGACAACATGACCTAGCCAGCGTAGCCGCTGTCTTTTAATTCGCTGAACTATGTCAATGTCGTCGTATATCTCGTACAGCTCATCGTTYCATCGAATGCGATATTCGMCGTGGCYAACGCGCAAAGGACCATAAAKCTTTCGCAGAACYTTTCTCKCGAAAACTCGCAACGTCGACTCATCCGTTGTTGATATCGTCCAAGCCTCTGCACCATATAGCAGGACGGGAATTATGAGTGACTTATAGAGTTTGGTTTTTGTTCGTCGAAAGTGGACTTTACTTCTAAATTGCCTACTCAGTCAAAAGGTAGCAACTGTTGTCAAGAGCTATTGGTTATTGATTTCAAAGCTGTATGTATTTTCTCAATTCTGCATATCATAGAATGGAAAGCCTTCACTGAGCTGAGAATTATTTCATTCTGATATGTATGTTGCTAATATGCGGGAATATACATCCGTCTTACAATTATTTTTGTTTTAAATTGCCTGTATTTTGAACAGGGCTTTGTATATTGCCTGTTTTGTAAATACAGGACTTTTTAATTTTGGCCGAGCACTATATCCCGACCAAATATGTTTGATTTGTAAGATCAAACATTGACCTCAAAAAATAATTTGTCATTCCTCACCACTGATGGGGGGAAATGAAACGTCTTTGTTTGAGTGAGAATTTATTCATTCTGGTTTTTATTTGGTATTTTCTTTACTTATATACAAATTTTAAAACTGTCTTAATTAACTAAATATAATATAATATATTAGTGTCAAATATTTCTATACAACTACACATTTTTTCTCTATGCACTAACACCAACGCACATTTTCGGGTTATTTTTTGTTTACCCAAATTCGACGAAACAAATTTTTTTTCAATCCTTGATTTATTTGAATGAGTGCGAAGGAGAAAACATAATTGCCAATAGTGCTAAAGAAAATCCCAAAAAGGGTAATAAAAAACGATTGAAAGACGCATGTCCGACGTGATCATAACATCGTAAAGGAGGCTCGTACAATAAGAAGGTAAGTAAGTGAATTTTATATGATTTTTTTTTAATAATTTGCAAATAATTACTTAATTTGTTTTTATGGCATTGGAAATAGCAGCTGCAGCAATATCATCAGATGCAGCAAATATCAATTGTTTAGTAAGTACATATGTGAAAAAAGTGTGTGTACTTTGCAATTGGAAATTGGAATATAATAAAAATATAATACAATCCAATATAATATGTGAAAACAAATGTTTGTTTTATATTTTAAATGATCAAATAATATTTATCTTTTCTTTCAGATGTTATTATTATTTTTATTTAATTAATCTTTGCTTTCGGAGTAAATTCTATTTGTATTTAATATATTTTATTTTTTCTTCTTCTTCTTAATTGGCGTAGACACCGCTTACGCGATTATAGCCGAGTTAACAACAGCGCGCCAGTCGGTTCTTCTTTTCGCTACGTGGCGCCAATTGGCGTGATTGGATATTCTCCACCTGGTCCTTCCAACGGAGTGGAGGTCTTCCTCTTCCTCTGCTTCTCCCGGCGGGTACAGCGTCGAATACTTTCAGAGCTGGAGTGTTTTCGTCCATTCGGACAACATGACCTAGCGAGCGTAGCCGCTGTCTTTTAATTCGCTGAACTATGTCAATCTCGCCATATATCTCGTACAGCTCATCGTTCCATCGAATGCGATACTCGCCGTGGCCATAAATCTTTCGCAGAACTTTTCTCTCGAAAACTCGCAACGTCGACTCATCAGTTGTTGTCATCTTCCAAGCCTCTGCACCATATAGCAGGAGGGGTATTATGAGTGACTTATAGAGTTTGGTTTTTGTTTGTCGAGAGAGGACTTTGCTTCTCAATTGCCTACTCAGTCCGAAGTAGCACCTGTTGGCAAGNCTTATAGAGTTTGGTTTTTGTTTGTCGAGAGAGGACTTTGCTTCTCAATTGCCTACTCAGTCCGAAGTAGCACCTGTTGGCAAGAGTTATCCTGCGTGGGATTTCCAGGCTGACATTATTGCTGGTGTTTATGCTGGTTCCCAGATAGACGAAATTATCTACGACTTCAAAGCTATGACTGTCAACAGTGACGTTCCCCCGGCGGGTAGGGGGGACCCCTCCAGGTTGGGGGGGAAACCGAATATACCCGTGGTAAGGCATGCCTGTCGTAAGAGGCGACTAAAATCCACATGCACTGTGTCTGTCTTTTTGGGCTTTGATCTATGTGCTTCTAGCAATAGAAAGCACCGTGGGGTTAGGCCTTCGCAGGCAGGAACTCAGGTTAAACCACAACGGACTCTGTCAACAGTGACGTGAGAGCCCAATCGCGAGTGCGACGACTGTTTGTTTGATGACAGGAGATATTTCGTTTTGCCCTCGTTCACTGCCAGACCCATTTGTGGTGCTGCTTTATTCACTCCGGAAAATGCAGAACTAACGGAGCGGGTGTTGAAGCCGATGATATCAATATCATCGGCATACGCCAGCAGCTGTACACTCTTATAGAAGATTGTACCTTCTCTATTTAGTTCTGCAGCTCTAATTATTTACTCTAGAAGCAGGTTGAAAAAGTCGCACGATAAGGAATCGCCTTATCTGAAACCTTGTTTGGTTCGAACGGCTCGGAGAGGTCCTTCCCGATTCTGACGGATTCGCGGCATAAAGGCAGCTCCTTTTCGTGCTGTCGAAAGCAGCTCTAAAATCGACGAAGAAGTGGTGAGTGTCGATTCTCCTTTCACGGGTCTTTTCCAAGATTTGGCGCATGGTGAATATCTGGTCAGTTGTTGATTTTCCAGGTCTGAAGCCACACTTATAAGGTCCAATCAGTTTGTTGACGGTGGGCTTTAATCTTTCACACAATACGCTCGATAAAACCTTATATGCAATATTGAGGAGGCTTATCCCACGGTAGTTGGCGCAGTTTGTGGGGTTTCCTTTTTTGTGGATTGGGCATAGCACACTTAAATTCCAGTCGTTGGGCAGGCTTTCGGTCGACCATATTTTACAAAGAAGCTGATGCATGTTCCTCATCAGTTCTTCGCCGCCGTGTTTGAATAGCTCGGCCGTTCTTCAGGCTGGAGAAGTGTTCCCTCCATAATTTAAGTATGCTCTGGGCATCGGTGTTTAGATCACCTTTGGGGGTTCTACAAGAGTATGCTCCGGTCTTGAAACCTTCTGTAAGCCCCCGCATTTTTTCGTAGAATTTTCGAGCATTACCCCGGTCGGCCAGCTTATCAAGCTCTTCGTACTCACGCATTTGGGCCTCTTTCTTTTTCTGTC